CCCCCACCCTTCACTCGGAGTCTCAGAGCGGCTTACAATCCCTTCCTCTCCCCACAACAGACACCCTGTAAGGTAGGTGGGGCTGAGAGAGCTCTTTCAAGAACAGCTCTGAGAGAACTTGTGACTGACCCAAGGTCACACCAGTAGCTGCATGTGGAGGAGTGGGGAATCAAACCCAGTTCTCCCGGATTAAAGTCGGCGCTCCTAACCACTTCACCAAACCATAGATTGGATTTATCCCCCACCCTTCACTCGGAGTCTCAGAGCCGATTACAAACTCCTTTCCCATCCCCTCCCCACAACAGGCACCCTGTGAGGTAGGTGGGGCTGAGAGAGCTCTTTCGAGGGAACAGCTCTGAGAGAACTTGTGACTGACCCAAGGTCACACCAGCAGGTGGAATTGGAGGAGTGGGGAATCAAACCCGGTTCTTCCAGATTAGAGTATGCACTCTTAACCACTACACCAAACTGGCTCCCAACACGGGCTTCTCTTATGTTCTTATGATCAGAGGGCAGCTCCCCAGTTAAGGCATCCCAGTTCAAGGAGGTAACACCTGTAGACCCTTGGGGTGATGTAGGGCCCCCCCCCCATGTCCAGGCAAGCGGAGTCGCTCATTCCAACAACTCGGCTGCGTCACTTTTCCAAACACCACTTGGCTGAACCGTGATGTTAGCCAGCCGCCTCTCTTAACGCAAATGCCATCGGTCCAGAACAGCACTGAGAGCCTGCTGTTTGGAGCACTACAGAATCTCGGCGTATACATCTTTGGACGGCACGAGGGCCTCTCTTTGGGCTTGTGAAATGATAGTCTACCCGTATTCTTGTCGGCGTGTTTACACTGGCGGTTCTGGGAGCTCTCTGCTCGGCTCCCGCTTTCCCGGCACACGGTGACATCACCGCATGGAAATCCAGCGGGCATCTCCTGCAGATGTCTCTCTGGCTTGACAGGAGGCAGAAAAACAGCTGGCCAGCAATCCATCACGGAAAGAGCAGCTGTCTGCTTGTTAGTACAGAAAGCGGTGAACAGAAGCCGTGGTCCTTGGGTGCCCATAGTAGGTTGTGCGGGATTCGCTTGTGACAGGAATGCATCTGGGATTAGCCACTGGGTGGGCTGGAGGGGCTTGCAGGGAACTGAGCCCCTCTGCAATAGGCTTGGATTTTCAGTTTTGACAGAAACTGCCCTTGAGAGAACAGCTCTGAGAGAAGAAGAAGAGATTGGATTTATCCCCCGCCCTTCACTACCCAAGGGAGTCTCAGAGTGGCTTACAAACTCCTTTCCCTTCCCCTCCCCGCAACAGACACCTTGTGAGGTAGAAGAAGAAGAAGAGATTGGATTTATCCCCCGCCCTTCACTACCCAAGGGAGTCTCAGAGTGGCTTACAAACTCCTTTCCCTTCCCCTCCCCGCAACAGACACCTTGTGAGGTAGAAGAAGAAGAAGAGATTGGATTTATCCCCCGCCCTTCACTACCCAAGGGAGTCTCAGAGTGGCTTACAAACTCCTTTCCCTTCCCCTCCCCGCAACAGACACCTTGTGAGGTAGAAGAAGAAGAAGAGATTGGATTTATCCCCCGCCCTTCACTACCCAAGGGAGTCTCAGAGTGGCTTACAAACTCCTTTCCCTTCCCCTCCCCGCAACAGACACCTTGTGAGGTAGAAGAAGAAGAAGAGATTGGATTTATCCCCCGCCCTTCACTACCCAAGGGAGTCTCAGAGTGGCTTACAAACTCCTTTCCCTTCCCCTCCCCGCAACAGACACCTTGTGAGGTAGAAGAAGAAGAAGAGATTGGATTTGTACCCCGCCCTTCACTTCCCAAGGGAGTCTCAGAGTGGCTTACAAACTCCTTTTCCCTTCCCCTCCCCACAACAGACACCCTGTGAGTAAAAGAAGAAGAAGAAGAGATTGGATTTATACCCCACCCTTCACTACCCAAAGGAGTCTCAGAGCGGCTTACAAACTCCTTTCCCTTCCCCTCCCCGCAACAGACACCTTGTGAGGTAGAAGAAGAAGAAGAGATTGGATTTGTACCCCGCCCTTCACTTCCCAAGGGAGTCTCAGAGTGGCTTACAAACTCCTTTTCCCTTCCCCTCCCCACAACAGACACCCTGTGAGGTGGGTGGGGCCGAGAGAGCTCTGACAGAAACGGCTTTTTTTCAAGGAGAGCTCTGACAGAACTACGGCTTGCCCAAGGTCATCCAGCCAGGTGCAAGTGGAGGAGTGGGGAATCAAACCCGGTTCTCCTAGATTAGAGTCCGCGCACTTCCACAACACCAAACCGGTGGAGGTGGACAAACTAACTTTAGCTTTGAAAGGACAACCAGAATCAACATTTGATAATACATGGCCAAGGTTTTAGAAGGAGGAGACTGGATTTATACCCCGCCCTTCACTACCCGAAGGAGTCTCCGAGTGGCTTACAAACTCCTTTCCCTTCCCCTCCCCACAACAGACACCCTGTGAGGTAGGTGGGGCTGAGAGAGCTCTGACAGAAACGGCTCTTTCAGGAACTGCTGTGCCAGAGCTTGTGACTGACCCAAGGTCACATCAGCAGGTGCAAGTTCTGGTGCTTAAGTATAGAAAGTGATGAGAACCATATAAAACATGACCAACTGAACCTTTAAGAAGGACAGCTTAGAAAGACAGAAAAGAAGAAAAGGAGGTGAATTTCATAGCCACTGTTGTAACTGAGACCATTCAGGAGAGAGGACATCGTTCTGTGAGAGAAAGTCAAGTATCAGACACCATTTCCTGTCAAAAGAAGACTTAAAAGGCTTCACTTGGGCTGGGTTTAACTCATTAGTGATGTACTCCGTGATATGCTGATGCCACAATTTGCGAAACCATAACTTTAGGGTTGGAGGTTTGGTATCTTTCCAACATGAGGCAATGGCGGTTCTTGCCGTAAAAAGCATCGTGTCAATTAGTGATTTATAGGAGAGGAGGAGATTGGATTTATACCCCACCCTTCACTACCCAAAGGAGTCTCAGAGCGGCTGACAAACTCCTCTCCCTTCCCCTCCCCACAACAGACGCCCTGTGAGGCAGGTGGGGCTGAGAGAGCTCTGACAGAAACTGCTCTTTTTCAAGGACAGCTCTTATCAGAACTATGGCTTGCCCAAGGTCATCCAGCAGGTGCAAGTAGAGGAGTGCCACAGGAAGTGGTGGCGGCTACAAGCATGGACGGCTTCAAGAGGGAATTAGATAAGCATATGGAGCAGAGGTCCATCAATGGCTATTAGCATAGGGGCTCTGGGGCAAGTGATGCTCTGTCTTCTTGGGGCTTGGGGGGGGTCAACAGTGGGAGGGCTTCTAATGTCCTGGCCCCACTGCTGGACCTCCTAATGGCCCCTGGTATTTTTGGCCACTGTGTGACAGAGTGTTAGACTGGATGGGCCTTTGGCCTGATCCAACATTGGCGTCTCTTATGTTCTTATGAGTGGGGAATCAAACCCGGTTCTCCCAGATTAACCACTGCACCAAACTGGCTGTGGTGTGTGTCGAGATGCTCAGGCCAGCAATCCAAAAATAGTGACTCTGGTTTAAAGGAGACCTCAATACCTGTGATTTTATTGATATTTATTTATTTATTTATAAATTCAATTTATAGCCCGTCCTCCCCACTGCGCGGGCTCAGGGCAGCGTACAATCAGGCATAAGCCAACATATAAAACATATTTAAAACCATTTAAAATCATTCTGCAATATAATAAAGGGCTCTAGATGTTCCGAGTTGATCTTCCACAAGATGGCGTATTGCTACTGCTCTCCCAACTCAGCGTCGTCTGTTCCGGGTAGTACTGATGTTCTTTCTTCCGGGGCCAGATAATCATGGTACAATAGTGGCGGCTCCTACTCAAACGCCTGGTGGAAGAGCTCCGTCTTGCAGGCCCTGCGGAACTGTGCAAGGTCCCGCAGGGCCCGGATCTCCTCCGGGAGCTCATTCCACCAGGTAGGAGCCGCCATTTATGATGTAAAAACCTTCTCCCAGAAATGTTTGACCTTATCGCAGCACCACCAGGGCCCTCGAGTTCTAGCATTTGGGAGAGGGAGAAGAATTCTGGAAAGTGGTGTTGCGTGAGCGTGAACATGCATAGTTAAAAATAAATATGAGGAAAGGTTAAAGCGCTTAGGGCTCTTTAGCTTGGAGAAAAGACGACTGAGGGGTGACATGATTGAGGTTTACAAGATTATGCATGGGAAAGAGCAGGTAGAGAAAGAGGTACTTTTCTCCCTTTCTCACAATACAAGAACTCCTGGGCACTCCATGAAATGGCTGAGCGGTCGGGTTAGAACAGATAAAAGGAAGTCCTTCTTCACCCAAAGAGTGATGAACACGAGGAATTCACTGCCACAGGAGGTGGTGGCGGCTACAAGCATGGACGGCTTCAGAAGGGAATTAGATAGGCATATGGAGCAGAGGTCCATCAGTGGCTATTAGCCACAAGGTATAGATAGGGGCTCTGGGGCAAGTGATGCTCTGTCTTCTTGGTGCTTGGGGGGGGGCAACAGTGGGAGGGGGCTTCTAGTGTCCTGGCCCCACTGGTGGAACTCCTGATGGCACTGATATTTCTGGCCACTGTGTGACAGAGTGTTGGACTAGATGGGCCATTGGCCTGATCCAACATGGGCTTCTCTTATGTTCTTCTATGGAGCAGAGGTCCATCAGTGGCTATTAGCCACGAGGTATAGATAGGAACTCTCAGTCTGTGGCGAGTGATGCTCTGTATTCTTGGTGCTTGTGGGGGGGGGTCAACAGTGGGAGGGCTCCTAGTGTCCTGGCCCCACTAGTGGACCTCCTGATGGCACCTGGTATTTCTGGCCACTGTGTGACACAGAGCGTTGGGACTGGATGGGCCATTGGCCTGATCCAACATTGGCGTCTCTTATGTTCTTATGTTATGTAAAAGAGACATTGCTTAAAATTCCCGGCATTTTCAGAGGGGCAGCTGCCGCTTCTCCCGGCCTTCATATTATGGAGTTGTTGTTTTTTTCCCCTCAGGGACTCCTGGGACTTCGCTGGCACGCGTCAACTGCTGGGACTGGCCCCGGCTCTGCACCCGGCAGAACGTCACTCAGTTTCCCACCATCAAGTTGTACGAAAAGGGAGGCCGAACGCTGACGTACTCCGGGATGTGGGGGACGGAGGCGATGCTGAGCTTCATCGAGCTGTAAGTGGCTGAGACGATTTGATATGGCCAGGCGCAGGGCGGGGAGGGAGACGCCAGAATCAAAGGTCACCAACCATTCTGGGCACAACTGCACAGGCGAACACATGGACCCCTGTCACTCCCGGACATACGAAGGGGTGTGCCCGTATTCGTCTCCGTCAGAACTGGTCTCCCTCAGAATCTCGGCTTTCATATAAAATTACAAGCCCATCCAAGTTCCTGGTTCTCATGGTTCCGGAGAGAAGCCAGGACTGTTTATAGTCTGTGCTTGCTGAAAATCATTATTTTTTAAGACATCATTCTGCACCTTGATTCAAATCCAGGACCACCGTAGAGACCAACAAGATTTTCAGGGTATGGGCTTTCGGGAATCAAAGCTTTCCTTCGTCAGATATCACAGAATCATGGACTGTTAGAGTGGGAAGGGACCTTGCAGGTCATCTAGTCCAACCCCCTGCACTCTGCAGGAGCACAGGCAAAAGAGAGCCCTACGACATACCCAAAAGATGGCTGTCCAGCCTCCGCTTGAAGACTTCCAGCGAAGGAGCACCCACCACCTCCCGAGGCAGACTGTCCCACTACTGAGCCACTCTTACAGTTAGGAAGTTTCTCCTGATATTCAACCGGTATCGACTCCCTTGTGATTTCCACCCGTTAGATCTAGTCTTGCACTCCGGCGCAAGAGAGAATAGAATAATAGAATGTGAGAGTTGGAAGGGACCTTGCAGGTCATCTAGTCCAACCCCCTGCACTCTGCAGGAGCACAGCCGAAAGATAGCCCTGCAACATACCCGAAAGATGGTCGCCCAGCCTCCGCTTGAAAACGTCCAGCGAAGGAGCATCCACCACCTCCCGAGGCAGTCTGTTCCACTGCTCAACCACTCTTACAGTTAGGAAGTTTCTCCTGATATTCAGCCGGTATCAACTCCCTTGTGATTTCCACCCATTCGATCTAGTCTTGCAATCCGGAGCAAGAGAGAACAGATCTGCTCCATCTTCTACATGACAGCCCTTCCAATATCTGAAGACTGCAATCGTGTCCGCTCTAAACCTTCTCTTTCCCAGGCTAAACAGACCCAACTCTTTCAGCCTTTCCTCGTAAGACTTGGATTCCAACCCTCTCACCATCCTGGTTGCCCTCTTCTGGACACGCTCGAGCGTGTCAGCATCCTTCCTAGAATGAAGATTTGTCAGGTCTGACGAAAGAAGCTTCGACTCCCGGAAGCTCATACCCCCCCCCCCCCCCCTTTTTTGGCCCCCGAAGTGCTGCTGACTCCGTTTTCGCTTTCCTACTGCAAACCAGCACGGATCCCCTCTGAAACGTTCTGCACCACGCGATCCCAAAGCCTAAACCGGGAATATTGGAGTGAAACAAACTTTGGCTGCCATGGTTTCGGTGGGTAGCCATGTTGGTTTGCAGCAGGAGATCAAGATTTGAGTCTGGACGGAGCCCTGACCTGGACAGCCCAGGCCAGTCGGAGGCTAAGCAGGGCCGACCCTGGCGAGTACTTGGATGGGAGACCTCCAAGGAATACCAGGGCAGAGGCAGGCAAATGTCAAGCCACCTCTCTGAAACTTCCAAGCCCCATTAGGTAAAGGTAAAGGTTCCCTTGCTTGAAAACCAGTCGAGTCCGACTCTAGGGTTGCGGTGCTCATCTCTGTTTCAAAGCCGAAGAGCCAGCGCTGTCCGAAGACGTTTCCGCGGTCATGTGGCCGGCATGACTAAACACCAAGGCGCACGGAACGCTGTTACCTTCCCACCCAAGTGGTACCTGTTTATCTACTTGAAATTCCTTGCTTTCGAACTGCTAGGTTGGCAGGAGCTGGAACTAGAGACGGGAGCTCACTCCATCATGCGACACATTCAGGTCTCGAACTGCTGAACTACCGACTTTTCCACAGCCTGCAGTTCAGCATCTTAACCACTTGAGCCACTGCAGCTCCTTAAGCCCCATTAGGGATCACCAGAAATCAGCATGACTTCCAGGCTCGCAAGTGCACACACAAATACACACAAAAAAGGAGATTTGAGTTAGGGAGTAGGGGATAAGCTTTCGAGAGAAGAAGAGAAGAGATTGGATTTATACCCCACCCTTCACTACCCCAAGGAGTCTCAGAGCGGCTTACAAACTCCTTTCCCTCCCCCTCCCCACAACAGACACCCTGCGAGGTAGGTGGGCCTGAGAAAGCTCTTGAGAGAACAGCTCTTGTAAGAACTATGGCTTGCCCAAGGTCATCCAGTAGCTGCGAGTGGAGTGGGGGAATCAAACCCGGTTCTCCCAGATTAGAGTCCGCGCACTTAACCATTACTCCAAACTGGTGCACTACGCCAAAGTTCCATGACGAAGAAAGACTGGGGGTATGAAACTGGGTCTCCCACAGTGAAGAAGAAGAAGAAGAGATTGGATTTATACCCCGCCCTTCACTACCCAAGGGAGTCTCAGAGCGGCTTACAGACTCCTTCCCCTTCCCCTCCCCACAACAGACACCCTGTGAGGCAGGTGGGGCTGAGAGAGCTCTGACACAAACGGCTCTTTTTCAAGGACAGCTGTGCCAGAGCTTGTGACTGACCCAAGGTCACACCAGCAGGTGCAAGTGGAGGAGTGGGGAATCAAACCCGGTTCTCCCAGATTAGAGTCCGCGCACTTCACCGCTACACCAAACAGTGCCCCCCTAAGCAGAGTTATGCTCTTCTAAGCCCACTGATATCTAGATCAGATCAAGCCCGAACTCTCCCTACAAAGCTACAATGACTAAACCAAGGCTATTGGACTTTGGTCACATGATGAGAAGACAGGAGTCACTGGAAAAGACAATAATGCTGGGAAAAGTGGAGGGTAGGAGGAAAAGAGGAAGAAGACCCAACAGGAGATGGATTCACTCAGGCAAGGAAGCCACAGAGGCCCTCAGTTTGCAAGATCTGAGAATGGCTAGCTAAAGATAGATTGTTTTGAAGGTCATTAAATCCATAGGGTCGCCCTAAGTCGGAAGCGAATAGACAGCACATGGCGCGCACACACAAGTTCCTTGCAGTCCATAGGCTTAAAAGGATACAGTTCTGTGCCAGATCCCAGTTCGACATTCCAACCGTCACACCAAGCTCCAAGCGCGCCTTGCCAATATTTATTTACTTATTTATATATTATATTTATTCATCTCTTGCCTTTCTCCCCAGTGGGGGACCCCAGTGCGGCTTCCATCATTCCCCCTTTACTCCATTTTATGCCCACAACAACAACCCTGTGAGGGAATTCGAGCTGAGAGTGTGACAGGCCCAAGGGCACCCAGCGAGTTCCTGTGGCAGGGCAGGGATTCGAACCCGGGTCTCCCAGATCCTAATCTGACACTCTGACCGCTGCACCACACTGCCTCTCCAGTCTTCAGCCCGGTGTCCGTTTTATATTTTCAGGAGCAGGACTCCCAGCCCAGTGAGGCTGACGACCTCGGGAGAAGTGGAAGAATTTTTGAGTGGCAAACCCCCACCTCTGTCTTCTAGTGTCTCCGTTCTGGGATTATTTGACTCCAGCATGCATGACGGTAAGGCCTGTGTTTGATTTCGCTTTGATGGGCTTCACGAAGACAGATTAACTGCAATATATATATATATATAAGCGTATCAGCTCTTTTCCATCACAACAGCCCTCTCAAGGTATATTTCCATTTTAGAGATGGACTTAAACTGGGGTAATTTTGTTGAAAAAGAGGTGCAGGAGCACATTAGCAGAACTCATTAGCAGAACTTATTTGCATATGCCACACCCTCTGACATCACTGAAAGTGTGTCAGAAGGCAACACCCACCGCTCAGACTCCACTGGACTGTTTTGGATTTCTAGCTTTTTTGGGGGGGGGAACGTGCAGATCTGTCCTCGCAGAGGAGGGAGAGCTTGTACCTGAATAAAACTTAGTCTTAAAGGTGCCACTAGACTGTTTTGGGCTGGGGGGGGGAAGGGGCTCTGCAGCTTACCTGGCTGCTTCTATGCTCTGACTGAGGGCTGCTGGGAGCTGGGGGTGGGGCTTCTTGTGTGTGCCCGCCCCCTCGGCTCTTTACTGCCGGAGCTCCACTCCTGTGCACTCCTGCAGGGAATGACCCCTGGACTTAAAAGAGAATTAGACAAATTCCTTGAAAGCGGGACTGTTTGCGGTTTATGATAGCTAAATGGAACCTCCATGTTCAGAGGCAGCGTACCTCGGAGTACCAGATGCCAGAGACAGGCAGCAGGGACAGGCGCTCTCCTTCATGCTTGGCTTGTGAACTTTCCAGAGGCACCTGGCTGGCCGCCCTTGCCGAATCCTGACCCAGAAAGGCAGGCTGGGCACAGAGCCAGGGGTGAGGAGGACCTCAGTCCCCGGTCATGCACGGGCAGAGTGAGCTGCCCTGCTTTCATGCCATTTGGTCCTGACACGTCTGTGAGGAGAGGGGGGCACAGAATCACACAGATTTGGGCCAGACAGGCTATCTAGTCCCACCCCCGGCTCAATGCAGGATCAGCGGAGAGTATCCCTGACAAGCGTTTGTCCAGCCGCTGCTTGAAGACTGCCAGGGAGGGGGAGCTCACCCCCCCCCCAGGCAGCCCATTCCACTGCGGCACAACTCTGACTGTCAAAAAAGTTCTTCCTAATATCCAGAGGTCATTTCCTGTGGGAGCGCACAGGAGCGGAGCTCCGGCAGTAAAGCGCCCAGGGGGCGGGCACATGCGACAAGCCCCTCCCCCTGCTCCCAGCAGCCCTCAGTCAGAGCAAGAAGCAGCCAGGTAAGTTGCAGAGCCCCACCCCGCCCCCCAGTCCAAAACAGTCCAGTGGCACCTTTAAGACCAAGTTTTAATTCAGGTACAAGCTCTCCCTCCTCTGCGAGGACAGATCTGCACGTTCTCCCCCCCCCCCCATAGCTTAGCAATCCAAAACAGTCCAGTAGAGCCTGAGAGGTGGGTGTTGCCTTCTGGCTGCACGGTTCCCCCCCCCCCCCATAGCTAGCAATCCAAAACAGTCCAGTGGAGCCTGAGCGGTGGGTGTTGCCTTCGGACACACTTCCGGTGATGTCAAGGGGTGTGGCCTTCTGACACTTCCGGTGATGTCAGGGGGTGTGGCATTCTGACACACTTCCGGTGACGTCAGGGGGTGTGGCATATGCAAATAAGTTATGCTAATGAGCTCCTGCGCCTCTTTTTCTACGCAATGACCCCTGCTGATATCTAGCCAGTACCTTCCCATCCTTCATTTCAACCCATTCTTGCGAGTCCTCTCCTCTGCAGCCAACAAGGAACAGCTCCCTGCCCTCCTGTAAGAGACACAGCCCTTCACATCCTTCAAGAGAGCCACCGTGTCCCCCCCTCAACCTCCTCTTCTCCAGACGGAACCTTCCCAAGGAGTCCCTCAGCCTTTCCTCACAGGGCTTCTCGGTCTCCAGGCTCCCGATCACCCTCGTCGCTCTCCTCTTGCACCCGCTCCATCCTGTCCACATCCTTTCTGAAGTGAGGCCTCCAGAACTGCACACAAGACTCCAGGTGCGGCCTGACCCAATGCCGTGCGCAAGACAGGCCAGTAGCCTGTATTCCAGGCCGGTTTTTGTCTTTGGGAGACAGAGGGAAGAAATATCAAATGGGCTTCTGCCACCAAGAAGCCAATCTCCTCCTGTTTGGTAATGAACTTCAGGACTCCATTACAAGCCAGTTTAGAAGGCAGGGCCCCCCCGAGCCCGTCGCTGGAGGGCGCTTGCCGCTGTCAAGAGAGGAGGGGAGACGGGCTGGAAAAGGCTGTGGTGGAGAGGAGAGGGGAATACGGTTACACCGATTTGAGGCTCAGAAACTGGTAAATGGATGGCCTTTTGTGACTGGACAAATCACTCCCAGATGATGCCGTTGCCAGTCTGGTGTCGTGGTGAAGTGCGCGGACTCTCATCTGGGAGAACTGGGTTTGATTCCCCCACTCCTCCACTCGCAGCTGCTGGATGACCTCGGGCAAGCCGTCGTTCTGTCAGAGCTGTTCTCTCAAGGGCAGTCCTTGAAAGAGCTCTCTCAGCCCCACCTCCCTCACACGGTGTCTGTAGTGTGGGAAGGGAAGGGAAAGGAGTCTGTAAGCCGCTCTGAGACTCCAAGTGAAGGACGGGGTATAAATCCAATCTCTTCTTCTTCATCATCTTCTCCTCCTTCTTCTCCTCCGTCTCCTTCTTCTTCTCCTTCTTCATCATCTTCTCCTCCTTCTCTTCCTTCTTCTTCTTCATCTTCTTCATCTTCTCCTTCTTCTCCATCATCTTCTTCATCTTCTCCTTCTTCTTCTTCATCGTCTTCTCCTCCTTCTCCTTCTTCTTCATCTTCTCCTCCTCCTCCTCCTGTTGACCTGAGAGACTCTGGCTGGATTTGCACGTGCGTTTACTTCCTTGCCCAGAAGCAGGTTGCCTCTTTGTACAGGTAGCGCACACTCTCATCAGTTCCTGCCCCACACTGTGTCAGCTACGCTGCCATTGCAGGTGGGGGCAGGCAGGAGACTGTTGGGCGAGCATCTTCACGTGCTGGAATGTTAACTTTCATTTCTTCTGCTGTGTCTTATCTCTTAGCCTAGGCTTGTGACCTTGGTACCTTTCTCCTGTTGCTTTGCTGGGAATATGAACCTGTTAGTTTAGGCACGCCTTCCCCAGTCCTAGTTCACGAATCAGTTCCAAGCCTTGAAGATAATTGGGTGTAGTGGTTAAGTGCACGGACTCTCATCTGGGAAAACCGGGTTTGATTCCCCACTCCTCCACTTGCACCTGCTGGATGACCTTGGGCAAGCCATAGTTCTGATAAGAGTGGTTCTTGAAAAAAAAACAGTTTCTGTCAGAGCTCCCTCAGCCCCACCTGCCTCACAGGGTGTCTGTTGTGGGGAGGGAAAGGGAAAGGATTTTGTAAGTCGCTCTGAGACTCCTTTGGGTAGTGAAGGGCAGGGTATAAATCCAATCTCTTCCTCTTCTTCTTCTAATCTGGAGAACCAGGTTTGATTCCCCACTCTTTCACGTGCAGCCATCTGGGTAACCTTGGGTCAGTAACAAGTTCTCTCAGAGCTGTTCTCTCAAGGGCAGTTCTTGAGAGAGCTCTCCCAACCCCACCTACCTCAAAGGGTGTCTGTTGTGGGGAGGGGAAGGGGAAAGAGTTTGTAAGCCGCTCTGAGACTCCTTCAGGTAGTGAAGGGCGGGGTATAAATACAATTTCTTCTTCTTCTTGCTACATTTTGTACCTTGTGCAAACTTCTTCTTTCCGGCGGAGCACGTTGCTCTCATGTGATATCTTTCTGAACCGGGTCCTGGTGTCTCGACAGCCCAAGAAGCTTTTGTTGAAGCTGCAGCGGCCCTAGACGGATATGTGACGACTGGGATCTACAGCGGAGAGGAGGCGGCAGTTCTGTAAGTTGTCCGTGTGCTTGCGTTGGAGTCTGGCGGTGGGAGCCTTGCTGGGTCTGGTCTGTGGGACTGTTGAGGAGGGGCCGTGGCTCAGTGGCAGAGCACCTGCTTGGCATGCAGAAGGTCCCGGGTTCATTCCCCGGCATCTCCAGTTAGAAGACCAGCAGGGTTCTTCTGATGTTCTTATGAAGGCCTCGGCCTCTCTGCCCTGTTGTTCGCCCCCCAGAGGAACTGGTTGGCCACTCTGTGAGCCAGGATGCTGGACTAGAAAGACCACTAGTCTGTCCCAGCAGGGCTCTTCTAATACTCTTATGAAGGCCTTGGCCTCTCTTCCCTGTTGTTGGCCATCCAAAGGAACTGGTTGGCCACTGTGTGAGACGGGATGTTGAACTGGATGCACCACTGGTCTGATCCAGCAGGGCTCTTCTGATGTTCTTATGAAGGCCCTGGCCTCTATGCCCTGTTGTTGGCCCTCCAGAGGAACTGGTTGGCCACTGTGTGAGACAGGATGCTGGACTAGGTGGACCCTCAGTGGTCTGATCCTGCAGGGCTCTTCTGATGTTCTTATGAAGGCCTCGGCCTCTGTGCCCAGTTGTTGTCCCTCCAGAGGAACTGGTTGGCCACTGTGTGGGACAGGATGCTGGACTAGATGGACGACTGGTCTGGTCCAGCAGGGCTCATCTGATGTTTTAATGAAGGCTTCAGCCTCTGTGCCCTGTTATTAGCTGTCCACAGAGACCAGTTGGCCGCTGTGGGAGACAGGATGCTGGACTAGGTGGACCTTCAGTGGGCTGATTCAGCTGGGCTCTTCCAATGTTCTTAGGAAGGCCTTGGGCTCTATGTCCTGTTGTTGGCCCTCCATAGGAACTGCCTGGCCTCTGTGTGTGAGACAGGACGCTCTGCTTTGATTCTCAAAAGCTTATACCCCAAAAATCTTGTTGGACTCTCTGGTGGTACTGGACTCAAATCTAGCTGAGCTTTGACTCTTGAAAGCTCCTGTTGGCCTTTAACTTGCTACCGGACTCAGATCTCGCCATTCTTCTGCAGACCCACATGGCTACCTGTTGGATGTTACAAGCTAAAACACTTCTATTTCAGTATTTACTGGGTTAATACTGTTTACTAAATCACATGTTTGTTTGTAGCCAATAAGTTTAGAGAGCTAGAAAGCCCGGCAACTTCAGATCTGGTTTGTCGTTCTGATTGGAGACTAGAGTGGCTAGTATTAGCATTTTATGGCTCTTTGTCCTGAGCAAGAAGAAGTTAGTCTCCATTACTCTTTCTGCCATGTTCTGTCTAGCTGTAAGGATGTAGGAATATAGCTCTTTGTTATTTTACATCCCATATACCTTTTCCCCCATGCTAGGTTGTAGTAAACTTTTATGTTTTAAACACACCATGGACTCTGACTCTTTAATACTCTGCTGAATGCTGATTACTCTGCTGATTAACTTTAGAAATTAATAAGAATAACCCAACACTACCCTCTGCCAACCTAGCAGTTTGAAAGCAAGAAATTGCAAGTAGATAAATAGGTACCACTTCGGTGGGAAGGTAACAGCGTTCCGTGCGCCTCGGTGTTTAGTCATGCCGGCCACATGACCACGGAAACATCTTCGGACAGTGCTGGTTCTTCGGCTTTGAAACGGAGATGAGCACCGCAACCCTAGAGTCGGATTCGACTGGCTTTCGAGCAAGGGAACCTTCACCTTCACCCTCTGAAACCTTTTTTCCCCCAGCTCCAGTAAATACCAGGTGCCTCTTCCAGGGTTGCTGCTGACCAGGCCGGAAAGTTCTAAGAGGACCACCCTCCGCCTCTCAAAAAGTAGCGCCCAGGATGTGGCGGAACTCATCCGACGTGCGTTACTGGAGCCATTCGTGAGTGTAACGTCTGCTTCAGCGCTATCTGTTCTTGAGGTCTCTCAGTTGCATTTCTATCTGCTCCTTTGGGGGAGGGGGTGCGCACCGGTGTTCCCTCTAAGCTGAGTTAGTGTGAGCCAACTCACAGTTTTTTAGCCACTCGCTCAGACATTTTTGTCTCAGCTCAGGAAGGGACGGCCCCAGAGCAAATTAATTTAGGCAGCAGCCCAATCGCTCACTCACAATTTGAATGCCAGGAGCTCACAAAGTAGAATTTTTGCTCACAAGACTCCACAGCTTACAGGGAGCGAGGGTCCGCACACCTTGCACAGCTTTGGAAAGAGCTTCCGAGTTTTTGGGGGGCTGATAGGGAGAAATCGGGCAGGAATGTCTTCTCCCGTCGCCGCAGCAATAGTTTTATTTTGATGCAAGATCAGCCCCGGAGTGTCAGTGGTAATAGTGTTGAGGGATTCTGGGACCCAGGACTTTTACTGGGACTCCGCAGTTCCCCTGGTTGGGTGGACACTAGCAAGGTACTGAATCTAGGAGAGGGAGAGAGAGAATGGTTTTTGCACAAAGCTCAATGTATTCCATTACGCACGTTCAAGACAGAAAACACTTTGTAGCATTTCCATATTCCACACAGAATATTTCAACCCAATTGTCCGATTCCCCATTCATTCAAAGTAAATCCACGTTTGATGAACAAAATAGAATTTATTAGAAGAGATGGTTAGATCAGGAACACAATCATTGTTAGTAATGACTACAAAGGTCCAAGGGAAACATAATAAAGAACTTGAACCTAGACAGGACCAATGATCCCAATTCCCGCTGGCGGGAGTGTGATAAGACTTAGCGCCCTTTCCTTGGGAACACAACGGTTCATACTACATAAACACAAGTTCAGTTCTCAGGCCTCAGAATACAAAATAAAGAAAGCAAGCCATAACTCCTTCCCACCACCAGCTGGTTAACCTTGAGCAGTTCCGCGGTGTGCTAGCAACAGAAAGTAAACACCTACACAAGAGGCAACAGGAGGGGGGATGAACCAAGAACAATATAGCATGCAGAATAAAACATACAATATAATGACAGCTTGCTGACACCAATACTTAAAATAGTTAAGATGCTGAACTGCAGGCCAGAAGGTTGGTAGTTCGGCAGTTCGAGACCCGAGTGCCACATGATGGAGTGAGCTCCCATCTCCGGCCCCAGCTCCTGCCGACCTAGCAGTTCGAAAGCAAGAAATTGCAAGTAGATAAACAGGTACCACTTTGGTGGGAAGGTAACAGCATTCCGTGCACCTCGGCGTCTAGTCGTGCCGGCCACATGACCACGGAAAACGTCTTCTGACAGCGCTGGCTCTTCGGCTGGAGATGAGCACCGCATCCCTAGAGTCGAAGTCGACTGGCTTTCGAGCAAGGGAAACCTTTGCCTTTACTATAAAACTCAGAATGTTCTGGACTAGCCACCAGGGCCTCACATGGACATGTTCATGTCCACCCCCGACCATTAGTAAACCAGAGATGTATCTCTTTCTTGGACCTGTAGCTACTAACATACCAACTTACGTACCTGTCACGTAGGACTACCATGCATGTGACGCAGGCCCAACTAGAACTGACTAGAACTGGCCCGATGTACCGACCCAAATCCCTCCCCCCTTCTTTCTACCTCTGGGGTGAGGAAGCTCACAGAAAGTCAAGGAGTGTCAAGGAAGCGAGCTTCAGAAACCCTATCTTATTTTGATTCTGATAGTGACACCCCTAACTTCTGGAACGTATAAGCGCCCTCTAAGGCAAAAATCACATACGGAGTTATCGGTACCAGAAGGCCACAGTGCCAGCTGAGTCCTGAAACCTCCTGGGAAACGGAACCAAAGATTCTACTATAGAAGAAGAAGAGAAGAAGAGATTGGATTTATACCCCGCCCTTCACTACCGAAAGGTGTCTCAGAGCGGCTTACAAACTCCTTTCCCTTCCCCTCCCCACAACAGACACCTTGTGAGGTGGGTGGGGCTGAGAGAGCTCTGACACAAACTGCTGTTTTTCAAGGACAGCTGTGCCAGAGCTTGTGACTGACCCAAGGTCACATCAGCAGGTGCACGTGGAGGAGTGGGGAATCAAACCTGGTTCTCCCAGATTCGAGTCTGCACACTTAACCACTACACCAAACTGGCTAATTACTTTAATTACTTTAGAAATTAAAGTATCAGGTTTAGAAGGGAACTGCTGCTCAATCCAGGCCCTAATTCCACGACAAATGGAAAATAAAAAGATAAAAATAAGGAGGACGTGTGCAGTGCAACTAGCACAAAACAATGAGCGTGGATTGGGGGGGGGTGCGGAGAAAACGATGCCCTTCTCCAACAGAGAGGTAAAATTATGGAGAGTCGTCCGCTTGTGTATCCCACACGCCTGAAGGCAAAATCCGGGAACTTTATGAGTTACCTCCTGGGAAGAGTCTGCAAGGAGGAGAGAGACATACTGCGGCGATAAAAAAATAAGCCACATGGGTTCAGACAAGCGGTGTGTTTAAAAAATGCAGGGACTTTCTTGGGATTAGGGACAATGATCCCCTCTAAACTATAGAGCAGTGATGGCGAACCTTTTAGGGACCGAGTGCCCAAACTGTGACCCAAAACCCACTTATTTATCGCAAAGCGCCAACACAGCAATTTGACCTGAATACTGAGATTTTACTTTAGAAGAAACAACTCATACATTAACTTAAGATGATCCAAACAAAGTAAGGGAAGCAATCCCAAATGCTTTCATTTACTTAAAATTATTTGGCAGAGAAGTTGACACTTTAATGATGGTCTGGGCCTGGCTGGGGCGATGGCACGCGTGCCCACAGAGAGGGCTCTGAGTGCCACCTCTGGCACCCGTGCCATAGGTTCGCCACCACTGCTATAGAGTCTTGTGAGCAAAAACTTGACTTTGTGAGCTACTGGCATTAAAGTTGTGAGCGAGTGATTTGGCGGCTGCGTAAATCAGTTTGATCTGGAGCCCATCCCTTCCTGAGCTAAGGCAAAAATGTGTGAGCCAGAGGCTAAAAAACTGGGAGCTGGCTCACACTCACTCAGCTCAGAGGGGACACTGGTTAGGGGTCGGCCTCGCCACCTCCGTGTGTTCTGTTCTCCTGTTGCAGCCGGAAATCACGGTGGGGAATCTGCCGGAGTACTTCCAGTTCCAGAAGCCCTTGCTCATCCTCTTCAGCAGCGGCGCTTTGAGCCAGGCCGACGAAGGAGAGATGCGGCTTTTGGCCAGAGAGGAGAACCTCCTGGCCTGCTGGCTGAACCTGTAAGTGTGCGGTGATCTCAGGGCAGCCTTCGGTTTGAGACATGATGTTCCACTTTCCTAGTTTGTCCAGGTAGCAGTGCCGGGAAGGGCTGTCCGGTTGCAGCCGACTTATGTTGACATTGTAGCAGGGGTCATTCCCCTGCAGGAGCGCACAGGAGCGGAGCTCCGGCAGTAAAGAGCCCAGGGGGTGGGCACATGCAACAAGCCCCACCCCCTGCTCCCGGCAGCCCTCAGTCAGAGCAAGAAGCAGCCAGGTAAGTTGCAGAGCCCCCCCGGTCCAAAACAGTCCAGTGGCACCTTGAAGACCAAGTTTTATTCAGGTACAAGCTCTCCCTCCTCTGCGAGGACAGATCTGCACGTTCCCCCCCCCCCCAATGGCTAGCAATCCAAAACAGTCCAGTGGCGCCTGAGCGGTGGGGGTTGCCTTCTGACACACGTCCGGTGATGTCAGGGGGTGTGGCATATGCTAATAAATTATTCTAATGAGTTAGGCTAATGAGCTCCTGCACCTCTTTGTCTACGAAATGACCCCTGCGTTTTCGGGTTTTTCAGGGCAAGAAACGAACGGGGGTGCTTTGCCATTGGCTGGCTGGAACTGGTTAAGGACAATTTTACTGAGGACGCTTTGGCTGTACAATCTCTGGAAGGCACTTTCTGGACCGGAAATTATTAGCATTGAAACACCACTGGGCGTGTGGTTGCACCTTTGGAGGCCTCATTTATACTTCTGTTCTGTGCCGAGTGGTTTCACTTTGGAACCGTTCTTTTCTGGTCCATCTTGTGTCTGTGTTACATAATTATACGATTGTATCGTACTTTGATATAAGCCAATATGCTCCTCATTGTGATTGACCTCTGAAGAAGGCCTGTACAGGCCAAAACGCGTCAGGTCAAGTCCATTGGCCCTGGTGTGCTAGATTTTGGCATTTTTACATGAGGTGTGATTGGGCCCTTGTAGGCTTTTTAAGTCTTTGTTAATAAATACGTGTATCTTTTCATACGAAATAATTAAGTTTTTGCTGTTGGCCCTCTGTTCTGTTTGACTCACCTTTTTCAGGTTCTGTGTCCCAGGTTTCAGGGTTAAGTCCCCACCCCCACCTCCCTTTTTGTCCTTTGGCCACTCCATGCAGTCAAGCGACATCCTCGAGCTTCGCTCTGGGAAACAATGGACTAAGCGGATCCTAGCCCGTTTGGTGTAGTGGTTAAGTGCGCGGACTCTAATCTGGGAGAGCCGGGTTTGATCCCCCACTCCTCCACTTGCACCTGGCTGGATAGCCTTGGGCAAGCCGTAGCTCTGATAAGAGCTGTCCTTGAAAAAGAGCAGTTTGTGTGAAGAGCTCTCTGAGCCCCGCCTACCTCACAGGGTGTCTGTTGTGGGGAGGGGAAGGGAAAGGAGTTTGGAAGCCGCTCTGAGACTCCTTTGGGTAGTGAAGGGTAGGGTATAAATCCAATCTCCTCCTCCTCCTCCTCCTCCTCCTCCTCCTCCTCCTCATTCTTCTTCTTCTTCTTCTTCTTCTTCGCCATAGTTCTGATAAGAGCTGTTCTTGATAAAGAGCCATTTCTGTCAGAGCTCTCTCAGCCCCACCGGCCTCACAGAGTGTCTGTTGTGGGGAGGGGAAGGGAAAGGAGTTTGTAAGCCGCTCTGAGCCCCCTTTGGGTAGGGAAGGGCGGGGTATAAATCCAATCTCCTCCTCCTAGGTTCCTGGCCGAGAGCCTATGGAACTCTCGGCCACTGTAAATAGCCTATTGCGGTGTAGGGGGGTGTTCTGGGTGGTGGTTTCACAGGGAATATAAGCCGGCCTGCAAGCCGGCTAAAGTTGTCTTGTTCCTGCTAAATAAACCTTATGAGCTGAATCACTGGAGATATCTGAAGACTTTCCAGCCACAGTGTAAGACAGGATGTTGGACTACACGAACCGCTGGTCTGATCCAGCAGGGCTACATTCTTGTGTTCTTAATGTCAGCAAGTGCCCCTGTGTGCCAGAACTTGCCCCTCACTCCGCTGATCTCCTTCCCGCAGCGAGAAGACCCCTGTGGGCAGGGGGATCCTGAAGGCCTATTTCGGAAGTCCTCTACCTCCCCTGCCCCTCCTCGTTTGGGTCAACCCCCATTCTGGTGGCCAGGTGTTTGCGTTTCCTCCCGGTCAGTCCATCACCAAAGCCAGTGTCCTCACGTGGGTTGAGAAGCTGGAATCCGGCCTGGAAGTCCCCAGCAGTGAGTATTACTAAGGTGTGGCCAGTGAGCCGAAAGCGCTCTTGTTCTGCGTGTGATCCAACTTGAGACAACCTAAGGCAGTGATGGCGAACCTTTTAGAGACCGAGTGCCCAAACTGTGACCCAAAACCTTATTTATCGCAAAGTGCCAACACGGCAATTTAACCTGAATACTGAGGTTTTAGATCAGAAAAAACAACTCATGCATTAACTTAAGATGATCCAAACAAAGTAAGGAATGCAATCCCAAATGCTTTTATTTACTTAAAATTATTTGGCAGAGAATCCGACACTTTAATGATGGTCTGGGACTGGCTGGGGTGATGGCACGCGTGCCCGCAGAGGGGGCTCTGAGTGCCACCTCTGGCACCTGTGCCATAGGTTCACCACCACAGACCTAAGGGTCAATGCTGTGCCGGCCTCCTCAAGACTAACCTGGGAGGACCGGGTTTGATTCCCCACTCCTCCTCCACGTGCAGCCGCTGGTGTGACCTTGGGTCAGTCACAAATTCTCTCAGAGCTGTTCTCTCAAGGGCAGTCCTCGAGAGAGCTCTCTCAGCCCCACCTACCTCACAGGAAATGCTCCCTCTAAGCTGTGGAGACTCGTGAGCGAAAATTCTACTTTGTGAGCTCCTGGCATTAAAGCTGTGAGCGAGCGATTTGGCTACTGCATCAATTAGTTGGCTCTGGAGCCGTCCCTTCCTGAGCGAAGACAAGAATGTGTGAGCCGGAGGCTAAAAAGCTGTGAGCTAGCTTTAGCATACTAAATCAGCTTAGAGGGAACACTGCTCACAGGGTGTCTGCTGAGGGGAAGGGAAGGGATAGGAGCAGGGCTCATTTCCTGCAGGAGCGCACAGGAGCGGAGCTCCGGCAGTAGATAGCCCAGGGGGCGGGCACATGCAACAAGCCCCGCCCCCTGCTCCCGGCAGCCCTCAGAGCAAGAAGCAGCCAGATAAGTTGCAGAGCCCCCCCCCCAGCCCAAAACAGTTCAGTGGCAACCATTAAGACCAAGTTTTATTCAGGTACAAGCTCTCCCTCCTCTGCGAGGACAGATCTGCACATCACCCCCCCCCAAAAGCTAGCAATCCAAAACAGTCCAGTGGAGCCTGAGCGGTGGGTGTCGCCTTCTGACACGCTTCTGGTGATGTCAGGGGGTGTGGTGTATGCAAATGAGTTGTGCATATGAGTTGTGCTAATGAGCTCCACCTCTTTTTCTACTAAATGACCCCTGAATAGGAGATTGTAAGCCGCTCTGAGACTCCTTTGGGTAGTGAAGGGCAGGGTATAAATCCAATCTCTCCTTCTTCTTCTTCTTAAGTTTTGGCAGCCATTTTGTGGCTGGCTCTGCCCCCTGCGGCGGCCATTTTGTGGCCGCGCCCACCGTGCTGTATCAGGATTCCAAATGTGCCCACAGGCTCAAAAAGGTTGGGGGCCCCTGCCGTCGGTCTAGCTAAGTTACAATGCAAGACCGTTAGTTACCTTTGGTGGAGCAGACACCCCCCCCCCCAACAATGTTCCCTCTAAGCTACGGAGTCTTGTGAGCAAAAATTCTACTTTGTGAGCTACTGACATTAAAGCTGTGAGCGAGCGATTTGGCTACTGCATCAACTAGTTTGCTCTGTAGCCATCCTTCCTGAGCAAAGACAAAAATGTGTGAGCCGGAGGCTAAAAAACTGTGAGCTAGCTCACACTAACTCAGCTTAGAGGGAACACTGCCCCCCAAACTCCCTGCCGCTCACTTTGCAGAGGAGTTTGGGTCCCAGCATCTGGGCTGAAGGGAAAGATGATCGGTAAATGATCTCTGTGCGGTTCAGCCGCTCGAAACTGCCATCCATTTTCTCCTCCCGAAAAGGGGAGAGCTTTCCATAACCCACTAATGCTGTAAGGTGGATATGCCGCACACCCTGGGCTCGCTTGTTGAGGGAGTGTCCCAACCGGAGTAGCGAATTTCATTTTGCTGTGAGACTGTGGTCAGGAGGGAAAACCTTGAGAGAAACGATGTTCTGACCACAGAAACCTCTCAGAAAGGAGTGTTTATCACCAGCTTCTTTTCCACACCCCTCCGTCAGTGTTCCCTCTACGCTGTGGAGTCTTGTGAGCAAAAATTCTACTTTGGGAGCCACTGGCATTAAAGTCGTGAGCGAACGATTTGGCCACTGCATAAATTCATTTGCTCTGGAGCCAGGGGTCATTTCCTGCAGGAGCGCACAGGAGCGGAGCTCTGGCAGTAAAGAGCCCAGGGGGCAGGCACATGCAACAAGCCCCACCTCTTGCTCCCAGCAGCCCTCAGTCAGAGCAAGAAGCAGCCAGGCACGTTGCAGAGCCCACCCCCGGTCCAAGACAGTCCAGTGGCACCTTTAAGACGAAGTTTTATTCAGGCACAAGCTCTCCCTCCTCTGCGAGGACAGATCTGCACGTTCCCCCCCCCTTACCAAGAAACCCAAAAAGGCCCAGGGAGGTGGAGCCTGAGCGGTGGGTGTTGCCTTCTGACACACTTCCGGTGATGTCAGGGGGTGTGGCATATGCAAATAAGTTATGCTAATGAGTTATGCTAATGAGCTCCTGCACCTCTTTTCCTACGAAATTACCCCTGTCTGGAGCCATCCCTTCCTGAGTGAAGACAAAAATGTGTGAGCCAGAAGCTAAAAAACTGTGAGCTAGCTCACAGTCACTCAGCTTAGAGGGAACACTGCGCCTCCGTCCTGCCACAAAGTGCGTCCCGTCGACCCTTCCTTCCTGGCAGTGTGAAAACACAGGTCCTGTTGTATCCTGGGATATGTTCCCATCATACCTGTGTGACAGCAGTTGAGTTGCTAAAAGGTACTCAGCAGTGGCACCATCGGGATGAGGAAACTGATTCCCCAGGGGCTGGGGAAATTAAGATTTTTATCCCACCTTTCCTTCAGGCATCGAAGGGTGACCATCGTGGTTCTCTCGCCCTCATTTTATCCCCACAACAACCCTGTGAGGTAGCAGTAGAAAAGAGCAAGGGTCCAGTAGCACCTTGAAGACTAGCAAAATATGTGGCAGGGGAGGAGCTTTCATGCCTCATGAAATCCGAAGAGTTTTCGGCTAAACCTTAGGAAGAACTTCCTGACAGTTAGAGCGGTT